TCACCAGAAGACAAACTAACCCAAACACCACATGTTCACACATCATATGCACATGTAGCAGAAGAAAAAATGCCTCACAATTAACACCATATCCATATCAGTAGATACAACCAACACTTTACTCCTTCAAGTCCATTGTACCAGAAAGTATCTTCCTTATATCTCACCTAAAACAGAACATGATGCATGCTCTGATACCAATTAAAATTCTGGTATACAGAAACAAAAATCCTAACACATGTAAGACAGTGATCTCTGTTTAACATCACAAGGACAAGACAAAGCATGCTAATATAAAACTTATAAGTCTAAAGTTATGATAGAAGTTCCAACATCTTATATGACATGTAAATCAATCAAGAAACGAAACTGAACAATGCAGAATGATAATAACATAAAGATATGATGACCGAGTTCGGTGTATACAACACCTACTATGGGGGATACCAAGCCAGGAAGAAGATTACATTATCAGTAGTATTATTTTATGTAAACAACCTCAGGTTTACAGGTAAACAACCTCTGTTTTACCTAATCACTACCCAATGCAATCTTTATCTTAGAACCTCATCCAAGATAAGAGAAACCCATCTCACTCCCTAAATCACCTCAATGATATCTAACAATCACAACCTCTGGGAACTGCATCAAACTACTTGAAAGATAACCCTTTAAAAATAAATTTCATCCAAGACTCTTGACTAACAAACACACTTGTATTTGCTTCAAAGCTTCATCCAAGAACAATATACAATTCATTACCTAAAGACTTCTGAGTCTGTATAGACACAATGCCTACCATAATGTATCAAATCGATACAAAGGGTGACTTACAACCCAAGAAAGTACATGACCCTCAAAACCCTAAACCCTTATTTTTCTTTACAAAAGTTTTATACAAGGATTAGTTAAAAAATCCCTAGGTCTAAGTCTTCCTTTTATAATCTTTAGTTATCCATGGGCTTCGAAACTGCATCATATTAGTTACTGAAAATATGAAGAATCCTATGCATAAAAAAGGACTTCAATCATTAGTTTCATAATTTTATTCCACAATTAGAATCTAAACAAACTCATTAAATTATGCTTGAATCTCTTAATCCTTGAACTGAAGGCTCCACAAAATAGCATAATATTCCCAGAATATTCTGCTATTGTAACACACTAAATTAATCCAGCTGTACACAAACACAATGTCGAATGGTTCTGTATAGGATATATTTATTTGAAATGTTTCTTATAATGATATAACTTCTTTGTTCAACATGTTGTTTTTCACATATTTAACATCTTGTTCAACAACTAGTTTTACCAAAATTAGTCAAATCTTTAGAGCTTTCAATGTTCAACATGTACATTTTATTGAAGTTTAAATGTTGAAATCCTCTATTGTATTTCTTCTATGTTTGTAATGTTGTTTGGTTGATGCATAATTGATCAATTATGTAACCATGACTTATGAAATGCAATGTAATTTGGTTTAACTGATCTTGTAAGTTTTACTTGGTGTGGTTAAATTGACATATAATCAAATTTAATTGAGTTTGTAAGTTTCACTTGGTATGACTTATAATTTGGTTCATTACATAAGTGACCTATAACTATGACATAATATGACCTATAATTTGGACAAAACATCAACAATAACTTTGACATTAGGTGACCTATAATTTGGACAGAACATCAACCATAACTTGGACAAATGATGACATATACTTCTGCATATTTTTGATAGAACTTCTGAATAATTTGGACAGAACATCAACCATAACTTTCACATTAGGTTTACATTTCATTCTTTGTCAATACATATCAAAAGATTAATTGATCCATGCATTGTAATATTACACTACACATGATGGTTATATAACACCATACAAATATCTTATTCAAAGCACAAAGCAAATTGTTTAAAACATAACAAAACATAAAATTCTTCTTGTCTGCATCATCAAAAAGTATTCATTGAGTCAGCCTCTTGCAAATGTATTCCCAATTTTTTGAAATTCTTCCACCACCAATCACTTCTTCTGTGGTTTCCTCTTCAGTGATCACCAAAGGATCATTAGGTTTTTTTCCAGGGCCACATACTTCCTTTGTTTTGAGGGTCCTGAGCTGTCACTCTATCTTTTTGCACCACTCACAACAATAGTTTTCTTGAGTCTGGTCTTTATTTTAGAAGTCTTAACCTGGGAGAAAAAAGAAGTATTAAGAAAAATGAATAAATATCGAGTGAAAATGCCCATAACATGATTTAGTACTCACTGGTTCACTACAACTTGGCTTTGGTGAAGATGATCCTGGGGGTTTGATAGTTTTTTTTGCAAACTTTTGAAGTTTTACCAAAGACAATCCCGACTCCACTTGATTTTGATTCACTTGGCTTTATAGGTGATGTGCCAACACTCAAAGGCTGAATGTCCAATACATCATCACCCTTCAGTATTGCAACCAATCTTTCAACATCTATACCATAATACTTGTTCAATAATGAAGATCGTGTATCATTGTTGATCGTTGGTGATTCATTGTTGACAGTTGGTAATTCAATGTTGATAGTTGCTTTAGCATTATTGACAATTGGTGCTTCATTATTGTCGGTTGGTGCTTCATTGTTGATAATTATTGCTTCCTTATTGTCTGTTGGTGCTTCATTATTGACTGTTGGTGCTTTATTATTGATTGCTGGTGCCTCACTATTGACAGTTGCTTCAGCATTGACCGGTGCTTCACTATTGACTGTTGCTTCTAGTTCATCATTGACTGGTGCTTCAATATTAACCTTTTCCTTGTTTGTTTTAGCCTTTTTTATTTTGGTTCAGTCTGACTTATTTCCTTGTTGACAAACACCATAGGACCCCTAATAGAAACAAAGACATTGTTATTACACAATTTCATAATTACAATCAAGAAATAAAATAACTTTGGGTTAGTACAATACCCGTTTTTTGCTAGTCTGATTGGCCTGTTTAGACATCTCTTGTCTAGGAAGATCTTGTGTTGTATTTCCAGATATTATATCAAGAATTTGCTTATTTTTATTGCAAGTCCTCTTATTATGTCCTAGTTAAAAACATGTTTTGCATATATGGCTTGTATTTGTTCTTTGCCATTTTGTTTGGCTTACCTCATTAGGTTCTCTCCTGCATAATTTTTTGGGCCTGCCTGAGCCATGTTTAAACAAGGGTGGCAACATAATAAGATTAGATATTCTAGGCCGTTTGTTCTGGCCATTTAAAGGGGTGATCACTTCGCTGTAACAATTTTCATATGTACTCCTATGATAACATTTATGCAGATACTTGAGTGGGTCATCTACTTTACTATGTATTGCAACCACAACATGTCTGCATGGTATCCCCACCAGTTCACAATAATTTCATGTGCAAATTTATTTTCCAAATCCACTTCAAAACTATAAGTAAAAAGAACATGTGTAACTTGAAAATTTAACCTACCGGTATAAGTTGTTGTCCAACTAGCACTTTTCTCAATTTCTTTATCTAATCTCCTTAATGGTTTGATAGTTATCTACTCCTTATAACCATATACCTTTTCTCGAAGTGTTGCAAACCTACCCATTAGATAATTTCTAATCCACTCAAATATGGTAATTATTGGTTTATCCCTTTGAAATAAAATTGTTGCATTAAAAGACTCACTTAGATTGCTCATTAACACATCACACTTTGAGAAAAATGGAAAAACATGCTTACACCACTTTATTTTGGGAATAACCTCTAACTATTCATAAGCCTATGGCCCGACCTTATTGAGTATACACATATTTTCTACACGTGCCTCAAAATAAGTGTCCTTCTCAACAGCCATCATAAGATCCTTAAACAAGGTTCCTCCTCCAAACTTCTTTTTGAAGTTAGCATATAAGGGCCTTAAGAAAAATCTGTGCTCAAAACCTGTGTACTCCTCTTCAAACAGTTGTACCAGACCCTGTTGCAACAAAATATCAATTATTTGAGTTAAAGAATATCCAAGTATGAATTAAAGTTAATGATAGTCAAATTTACCTTTTTCTAGTCAGATATGAAACATCGTATTCTCTCTCCAATGTATTTAAGCAGCAACTTGATGAACAAGCTCTATGAAGCTTTTGTTTCATTCTTTACAACACCAAATGCAATAGGAAAATACTGGTCATTTGGATCTCTTCCTACATTAATGAGCAGGATACCACCATACTTATGCTTTAAATGACTACCATCTAAGCCAATGAATGGTCTACATGATTTTGTTAATGCTTTCCTGGTTCCATCAAAGAACATGTAACACCTCTCAAATCTTGGTTTCAAACCTGGAGCTGAAAAAATGGTGTTGATATTGAAAGTATTTCCTGAGGAAGTCCTTCTCAACTCAGCACCATAAGACCATAACAAGCTAAATTGTTTCATAGAATCCCCTTCCACAATGTTTCTAGCAATCTTCCTTGCCTTGAAAGCTCTACAACCTGGATTTTTGTGGCATACCTAAGCCTAACATCTGCTACCACCTCATTTAACTTCATCTTTGTTTTATTCTTCAACCCATCCAAAATGACCTTAGCAACCCACTCAACTTTATAACTTTTATTGGAGAATTGTCTTCCACACTTGTGTTTTGAAAACAATATTTTTATCCTAAATGTTATGGAGGCTAAAACTCTACTACATAAGACAATGTAGTTACATTATTTCTTATCCTTACATACCACCCTACATATATTGGCATCATTTTTTCAAACCTCACATCCATACCATTCATAACATCGTGCTCTAGTATAGCTTATTTAAACTCTTTCAATGAACAAAACTTCATTCCAACCTTGAAAATAAAATCCTTACTTAGAGCATCTTCTGCATTGAACCTGATTACACATGGCCTTTCATCGCAATTGTCATCATCAGCTCCACTATCCAGTTCATCGGTCATGTAGTCCTCTTCAATGACATGTGCCTTGCCCATCTCTTATGTGATAAACATGTTCTTGACTGGTTCACTCGGGCCTAACTATTTGCAACATTTTCAGTTCTAGGTTCACCATCAACACCTGCACCAACCCCTTCATCAAACCCATTCATCACCTCTTCACTATCATTAAAGTGTAAATCCCTCTCAGATTCATCACTAGAATCACCACTGCACTCACTTAATTTTTCATTCTCTTCATCACATGTCTTATCCTTTCTTTTCTCTCTAACAACATCCATAAAGGTGAAGTCTCCCGCATCTGGTTTTGGCTCATAAAAAAATATCAACTTCACATTTACTTCCAACAACATACATAGCTAACTCAAAAGCATCCCCATCATCTTTAAATGGTATTAAATCTGCTTCAAGGGATCCTTCATCATATTTCCACCATATCTTAACAACATTAAAATCAACTTAGGCATTATGGTGACAACTTTGCAGATTATTTTAATTTTAGTAATCTTAACCGTGTTTACATTGTCATTATGTTTTGATCAGATATCAGTGTCTCGACATATGATATGACATTTGATATTTGTATACCAGAATTTCAATTGGTATCAGAGCATGCATCCTGCTCTGTATCTAGGTGAGAATCAGAGAAGATACTTTCTAGTGCAATGGACAATGAAGGAGTATTTGTTATCAAACTACCTATTTGAGTACTTTATTTTCTTCTGATCTAGGGTTTAGGGGGAGAATTAACCACTAACTGATGGAACTGATGCTGGCTTCTATTGAGGGGGAGAATTCTGATTCTCTGAATTATTTCTTAGCAGGATTGGGTTGTTATGAAGATATCTGAATGGCTGAGAATTTATTTTTATCAATGTTGATGTGTTTGCAGATTCCACTGACTGATACTTTGATATTTTATTTTGCTGTTGTTTATATCTCTGATATTCTGCTGTATGTGTTTGATTTATTTTCAAACCAATGTTTTTGTTGGAATCTGAATTGTGGATTGTTAATTTGTTTTAGCCAACATTTGCTAAAGGGGGGAGATTGTAAATTCTCTATTTTTATGATTGGAAATAATTTTGGTAAAACTAATTTGACAGCAACATGTTAAATATGATGTTCTAAGTTGCATAAAATACATGTTGGACAAGATGTCCTATCCAGATCATTCGACATTGTGTCTGTTACAGTTGTGCACTTAGATATACTTGGTTATAACATATTTTGAATATTCTGGGAATATTATGTTATCCTAGGTGGTATCCAAGACTGATGAATCAGAGATTATATTTGAATTTAAAAGAGTATTTTTCTTTTCTAAATGTTGATACATTTTAGGAAACATTACATTGAAGGACTATTTTTATGCAGGATATTTTGCAGATATTTAGTAGCAGCCCTGCTGCGTTTTTGAAGCCCAAAATATAAGCCATAAGTTCATTATAAAATGAAGTCTCTAAACCTAAAGAATATATGCGCCTCATATGTAAAATTGTCAATTATTAGCATTTTGTGTGTTCATTGTTAGTTGTGAGCCACTCTTGTATTGTTTGATGCTTGAGTTGGACTGTTAGTTGAGCTGTAATTGTGAATCACTCATAAGCTTTTAAGCAGTAGTTGATTCTATTTATTGGAAGTGTTTCTTCTTTTATTGTCATTGTTGTTTCATCATTGTTGTGATTGAAAGGTGTTTTACCCCGAAATTTTCCCTCCTATTTTTCTTCAAGACATTCTCAAGAAGGTCCTCAAATGCTCAAGGTGGCTCAAGAGTTGATCAGACAAATTCTCATTCTAAGCAATGGGTCCACAACTAGGGTTTGGTATTTTTCAAGGAATATTGGGTTTCCAAGGTCTCAAGTTGTTTTCATGGTTCTTCACATGTATTCAAGGATGCTCTTACTAAGTTTCATGCCTTGCATCACAAGTTTGCTTAGTCAATGGCTCAGATGACTGAAAATCAACTGTATTGGGTAAAAAGTCAACGGTGGTCAATATACAGTCAAACTTCAAGATTTTGGGTCAACATAAATATTTTGAAGTGATATCCATCATTTGATCAAAGGTTGATCATGATTCCTCAATAAAAGCCCTCAAATCATCAAAAGTCAAAAGTTGCCAAATTAAGGTTTCCTTAGGAAAAGTCAACTGAACTTTGACCAAGCATAACTTTAACATGATTCATTATCTTTTCCCAAACAAAATCTCATCTTGAAGGGATTTCAATTCTCTATAACTTTGTCTCTCTAAGCTCAAGTCCAAAAAATGCATCATTCTAGAGATATAAGCCAATACATTACACGTCATTTCAAAAGTCAACAAAAACACACTTTTTGTCAAGGCAACTTTCATCAAGATAAAGTCTTCAAAATAAAATATGATCAACATAGATTTTGTAGAGGACATCTTGAGATTTTAAAAATTCAAATATCACCTTCAAAAGATAAAAATTGAGTGAGTTATGACCATTGCAATTTGGGAAATTTTGAGCAAATGCATGAAGTTCAAAGTGAGCAAATTTGTAATGTTGGACTGTTGGGCCTAAGTTTTCAGGTCCAAACATGTTCATGACATGTTTAAAGACCCATAAGTCCATTCATACATTATATTTTATTATTATTTTATTTATTTTTATTTTTATTCAATTAAATCCAAAATAAATTAAATAAATATAAGAACAATGGACCAAGGCATGTGGGCTTTGCTATGAATCATATTGGAGGCCCAATAATGCATATACAAGCTGGAAAATTTGTGCAAGGAAGATTTATGCAAGATTGATAAAAAATAGCAAGTTCTCACATAATTACAAATCATATCTTTTCATTATAAACCACAAAGATTTGTACCACAAATATTGACCTAATCTCTTCCTCTATATATACACAAACAATACCATATGTATAAACACACACAACCTACCACAACAACCCCTAAAAAGTTTTCTTAAAATTCTCAAGAAAAGTGAAAATTCGTATCACACGATCCAACCACTCTCAAGTCAAACCAAGTGTCCAATTATCATCCTGAAGGTCTCAAGGAATGTTTCCAAACATTCATCAAGTGAAAGACGTCTCAGAATCGTGCCACCAAGCATCACAGTGTTGGTAGTTTTCTAAAATTTCAAACTTTTGATTCATGCGTTATTGATTGATTTAGTGTACTCATACATGTTTATATTGATATTTGGAATAGTTTTGACGCATAGTATATGAGTTTCAATGCAGGAATAAGACCACACCATTACTAGGGCATAAGGAGCTTTTTGCTTTGTATTTTTTAATACAAGCACATTCAGGCCAAACGGCCACCACCATTGGATTCAGAAGGCTTGATTTAGGGGGGTAGGGTCCTCTTCATTCGCTAACGTTTGTTATTTTTGCAGGTGCAAGAATTAGCTCACTGGAGAAGATGACCGGAGCTAGGGCTCCGGTGCTTCTTCGGCCTATATATTTGTTTACATATTATATATATTTTGATTCAATATATGAACGGATGTATAGCCACCCCAGTGGTAGAAACGCGCACGCTAAGTCACTTCTCTCTAAGATCGCGGGTTCGATCCCCGATTTTGCCAATTTTTTTTCATGTTTTCATTATTTTTGTAGGTTTAGTATAAGATGCATTGAACCTGTTACCTTGACACAACCAGTATGTTGGCCTGGTGGTATGCTAGGCGTGGAGAATTCTTGAGGGCGTGGGTTTAACACCCACCCCTACTCTTTTGGTCATTCTATGTTTCTGACTCCTTTTCACCCTTTTTCTTTAAAACCTATTTTTCAAAAAAACATTTTTTTAACAAAACCCAAATTTAATTGTAGGCTTTTAAATTTGATTATAGGCTTTTAATTTAATTTTAGGTTTTATTTAATTAACCCTAATTTGATTTTTAAGGTTTTTTTAGTTAATTAAAATCAACTTAGATTTTAGGGTTTCAATTAATTTAAATTACCTAACTTTTTTTATTAATTAAAATCAATTATACTTTAGGATGATTATCAAAGCTTTTTTCATTATGCAATCACAAAAACAATTTTTTTTCTTCCATTTTTCTCTTTTACAATCTTCGTGTATTTACTTTCGCATTAGTTTTTCCCAATTATGTATCTGCTACAGTATGTAATAGTTAATTAGGATTTACTATTTTCCCCCAGTTTTATGGTTTTGTACCCCCTTCCCTGAAGCCCTGTAATAGTTTAGTTTTACTTTCGGAACCTTTACTTTCCGCAATTTACCGCTTTCCTTATAACTGCTAGTAATTAGGGCATGTATGGAAAAATCTAAAATGAAACTCTAGATAACCCTAATCAAGATTAAATAACTGAATTGAATCACTTTTCACACACTCACCTTTAGGGTAGCCTCACTTGTTGCCTTCGAATAAAAGCAGTCATGTCCCTCGAACATGGGGACGCTTTAGCAAATACCCTCGATTAAAAATATCATAGTCCCTTAATGACCCTTACGATGATGCCTTCGGTAAACGATCTTAGTCCCTTATGATAAATTTCTAAAGCGCCCCTACGAGTTGCCTTTATGATTGTACGATGACCCGTGCCTGTCCCTTCACATCCAACGATGGGGCTTCTTACTAACTAATGGTAAGATAGCACTATCTAAAGGAGGAGGAAAATAACACGAAAGATATTTAAGTAAGTAGGTAGTTCTTAATCGCTTGCTTACAAATAAAACCAATATTTTTCACTCAAAACACTTCTTCTGAAATATTTTCAAAAATAAACACTTTGTACGCATTCTTAACTGATACAAGAATCATTACAAAGTTGCCATACTTAGGCATTTTTCAAAATATTTTTAAATCGCACAGACACAAAGCATTTTCAAAAAACAAAGTGAGCTAAGGGATTAAGAGACCGTAAATAACTACGGATGAAAAGGGTGCTAACACCTTCCCTTTTCATAACCTACCCCCCGAACTCAGAAAATTCTCAAAGGTCTTTCCTGTTCTTTTCACCCTTTCCTTATTGGATAAAAGAAAAGTCGGTGGCAACTCTTTCTATCTGCAAAATTTGCAATAAAACGCAAAACCAATTCAGTTCTCACACCATATTATAGAACTGGCGACTCTGCTGGGGAGAACTAAAAAGTGGGGTTACCTTAGAGTTAGATCACTTTTAAATGCTTTTCTTGTTTGAGTTGTCTGCTTTATTTTTAAAGGATTGTTTGGGTTATTTCTTGCAAAGATCCTATACCCGGATCTTGGGAACATTTTAGGTAAGTAGCAATAGATCATGGAAACTATACGACATATACCGATATGGTTGAAGTGATGGATACGTTAGTGTGACACATTGGTTTGTACTGGTATCCCTCGAGTCAGTCGGGGAGC